CGGAGCCTCTGCGCGAGCTAGTTGTTCGTCGCTCTGACGTATCCTGTCGCATCACCCGCTCGAGCATGGAAACACTGCTGGAACTGCCGCGTGTCCGCACTGAGTTTGGCCGCCGCTGTTTCTGGCCTCGTGCGTGTAGAGCCTGGAACGATTTGCCCACGGACTTACGAGCGTCGGCCGCAGGTAGCAGCGGCGCTTTCAAAGCCGCTTTGAGGTCATACCTGTTGGCTAGATGAGGCCCACCGAAGTAGTACCTGTCGTTTATGTGCCGTGTCTTTTATGTGCGTTTTAAATCTTGCCCTGCTCTTGTCATACGCATTTTAAACCTGTATTTATGTTAACTGACGTGAATGCTCGAAAACCCACCATGTGGAAGCATCTAAATACATACATACATACAATATGGTTATATTGTGAAACATATTGGGTAACATAAAATAACACTGAATTTTGTTTCAATCAGTGTTCAGTAGATTCAAAATGCTGTAGCCTTCTTTGACCTGCAAAGTTGTGTTGCATCATTTCCCTAGCGACTGGAAATTAGACCGGAACTCTGACTTTCGTCAGAAGTCTGCTCTCACAGGAAGTGTTTCCGCTGAACATACTGGAAGATTACTGAAACAGAACGGCGTCGCGTAGATACCCCTTTCGTTAGATGGATATTGTGGTCTGTATCGAATAATGTTTGTTTATAAGCTGTCATCGTGCGTTTTCTATAAAGACGTTCCTATTATATAAATGAATAGATTATTATATGCATAAATCAGTGCATGACGAGTGACAACGACGGCGTTTCTAATGGGCCGAAATGTCTGTCAGAACTCAGAAGTTGGGTATGGGTACTGCGAAATTGCGCATTACTGACTTGGGGTCAGTAAAAGGGACCTTTAGCTGTAACAGTTATTGTTCAATAAACTAACCAATCAGTAGTTGGCAAATTAAAAAAAAACTTTCAGTGCACGTGTTTGTCCAACCGCCTATCTTGTACCGATATAAATGATTATTGAGCTGGGAAAGTAAATACTGATGCTCATTGTCTAGTTATCTTCGGATGAGTTAACTACCTACTTGTACTTCTTAGAGCGCCTCTGTCCCCATGATCCTTAGTACCTGCAGCATTACGCCTGCAAGCTCTGCGTGATGTAGAATCTTCTCTCGTCAGACGTTGACAGCGTTGTATGAGTAAGACCCATTTGTACTGCCCCCTCACCTGTGACCTGATGTGCTGAATTAATTATGTGCTGCTGGTCTACTATAGCCCTACTAATGTATTCCGCACGTCAGCACAGTCCCGTGTGATCACATCAGACGAGCGGATTTGGTACGTGTGTGTCATGACACACTCCCGGCATAGGAAATGCGCCACCAGTGTGAAATCAATATCGGCCATTTTAGCATCAACAAAGGCACGTAGGTAATAACACAAAGAAACTGAACTTTTATGCTTTGCAGTTTGCATGAGTACTGGGTAGTCATATGCTAACGTTCAAAATAGTGTGAAGATTTACATTTTTTCCTTACACACTTTGCATGAGGAATATATTTCCAATCATTTAAACGGTGTTTCATGTCATGATTCCTATTCTTATGAATCCAATAGAAGCAAAGGCGTTTGGTCGCGAGCAGACTTCAATATTGCAGCAATTGCACTGAATGGAGAGCAGAATCGGGTCCGTCATTTCAGTAAACCTAGGCCCTTACGAGGAACCTGATTTTTTTTTTAGACTGAATGAGAATCTTGATGGCTGTAGAATTTCCAAGTCCCATGCGGAAGACAGGCTGCAAAGGCGCGAGACGCCGCTGGCAGCTTTCCCTACATTGAACTTAGATAAACATTGGGAGGTTTATTGATCAAGTCAATAAATAATGAACCTTAGTTTGACGCACGGTTGAAAGGTCGTAATTTATTGTTTGTTTGCATTCTCTCTCATCCCTGGGACCTATCCCAATTCTCAAATGATTTATGCTGACCGTGCTCTCTCTTGTGAACTGTTGCATGACTGCACCTACTTCGGACATGATGCTTGAAAGTCGACTCACTCACAATTGTTGATACCTGAAAAATTTGGATTAGTTGACCGTATATGGATCGTGTCTACCTACCTATATGTCCCAAAACTTATGTTGTACCAACCATCCCTACAAGTTTTTACTCCCAGTAGACGACAAAAACATCCTGCTACAATATCCCCGCGCGCGTGCTATATCGAGCTCTGAGTGCTGTTCACGGACACCTGCGGTAACTGCGGTAGCTGCGGTAGATCGCAGGCTGTAAGTCCCGCCCACTTGTGCGTACGTCATCACGCGTTCGTCTGAGGCGGCCGTGTCAATTTTCCGTCCAAGTTACACGAATGCGCAACTGCCGCGCCACTTTGCATGACAAATGGTTCCTGCGGCCGCTGCGGTCGGATGTTTGCGGTCTGATGTTTCGACCGCAGGAGACGCAGGCGACCGCAGCCGGCCGCAGCCGTATGACGTCACACCACCCGCCCCATCCCCACTTTCTGTGACGTCATTACCCGGCTGACCGCCGAGCCGCAGCTACCGCAGCTACCGCAGGTGCCCGTGAACAGCACTCTGATGTCCCGCGCCTGCCGGGCTCTGCACCACGCCCTCCTGTCGTGGCGACGCGACGGCCGGGCGGGCGCCGTGGTGGCGGGGCGCTGGGCCAGTGCCACGCGGGGGGCGGTGCCAGGAGTCGGCTCTGGCCACGCCCGGGGCCCAGTTCATATAGAAAAGCCAGTCGGCGAGTGTCACTTTGCTTAAGTACCACTTCTCAAAGGGACAACTTTGGGACGTTGGTGCAGCCGTGTAAGGGTGACTAATTGTGAACCCGCCTGTCTGGTCGCCCTTTTCATTAGATGTCACTGGAAGCAAAGGGGCTCTATATGAACTGGGCCCTTTTACCGCCGCTGCCAGCCGCGCCTTGGCCGCGTCGACGTTATGGGACCGACTTTAAACCATTAGACGGGTAGGGCGGCTGGCTCGTCGACTGTTTGGCATGGGTCAGGTAAACCATGTGTGTATGGGGGGGGGGGGGTGACTGCTTTCTGGGAACGAAGTAGGGGTAGGGCACAGTGTATATAAATAGGGGGTAGGGTAGGGTAGGGTTGAATTGAATAACATCCTAACTTACAAAGGACTCGAACAACTCGCATGCATCACCATCATACTTTACAGTTCAATTAAAAACAGTTGCCCAGTTCTGCACAAATAATACCAATAAAAATGCTAGTTTCTACACCCAAGCTAATGCATCCGTTAATCATACATATCAAAACATACAGTTATCGCGTAAACCTGAACCTCTAGTAAGTTTATAATATCCGTGCAGGTATCAATGAAAACACAGGTTCATTGATTCGACATTCATTTAGTAGGTTTTTGTGTAGGCGTTATGTAAAGATCAGTGAATATAGAATGATAGCTATCGATGTAGCATATCTTGTTATCTCTTTATGTATATGTGGGCTCGGAATGAATGACCACTTTAGTCCCCGATACCCGTTCGGGACGGGACATCTGCCTACCGTCCGTACCACCACAGCTGTGAAGGGCGAAAGACGCCCCAGCTCGAGCGGTCTACAAAGTCAGACGTGACGCGTTCGATGATCGATCAGTTCCCATTGATTGACCACAGGCTTTTGTGCAGAACCGCACTGCTGAACGGTGGAGTACGACATTGCTGTGTGACGCCGAGTAACTTCTTTTCAGCCGGTTCCATTCAGATGATGGCTTGAGGTCATTTACGTTCAGACAACTTAGTCCACCGCGATCCAGTGTTTAGCAAAAATCAATACCAGTTCAAAGGTCTGCTTATCTGTTAATATGCCAGACAGAAAGAGTTAGACTGTTGTGTGTTTCACGCAATGCAGTCATAGGCGGAGGAACGGGGAGGGCACAGGGGCACCGTGCCTCCTTTGATTTTGGCATTTTAACATTAGCCCTATGGGCGTTGCATGGAAAGAATGGGACCAAAAGTCGGCAGTGCCCTCTTCCCCCGTAATTGAAGGTGTTCCGCTGCTACTGAATGCAGTGGCACCAGTTAAGTAAATTGCGATTAATGGAATCGAACATGGTTTCAGAGTAACAAGCTGGCAATGCGGGCGCATGTGATGAGGTGAGACACCTGAATTTGGCTCATTGATGGCCACTGGCGAGTTGGTCAGGGTCATCGTAAAATAAATACTTTATCCTGGTGGTATTTTCGTAAAAGGCAAATTCGGAAAAGGCCTCAGATCGGTCCCCAGTGGTGCTATTTTTCCTTTGACTGGGCGAGAGAGGGAACTTTGGGAAGACATTTCGGTGTTTTAGTTCGCTATTCTCCGTTGACTTAGTTCGTTGTGGCACCGGTGTTTTAGTTTGTCCTGGTATAGAGCCGTGCTTTTCGCGTCTGAACCCACGGGTCGATGGCCCCAAGGTGACCGTATGTCACCGGCTTTGACGGTCAACGTACCACCCAGGGAATATGTGGGGCTTCTAAGAAGGGCAAGGTGACGAAACAGCGTACCAATGCCTTTGTGAAAGTTTAAATAATGCAATTTTGGAATAGGACTTCTCTGTTAGATTTACTTCTTACTAACCAGTAGGCAGTAACCACTGTCCATTTTGGTTCAGTTTTGAGTTCATTCACATAACGTAGAAACCTTTGCCAATGCCAGTGGCTGCTGACAATGCCGAATGCTTCTTGGCTTTGTCAAATGGCTTGAAACTGGCTACATACTTAAAAATGCATTTAATGCGAATCTGATGAGTGGCTAATTTGCGTTTCTGAGACGGGGTTACGTCATTTCCAATGATTATGACAGTTTTGTCAGTGTCGAACCACTGTTTTGCAGACTTATTGCTTATTTCACTGTGCTTTTGCTGGTCGAGTGCCCGCCCCCTGATGCCCCCGCTCTCTGAAAAGTTCAAGAACTCAGCCCCTTCTTCGCTCTCTCCCTCCAAGAATCTACGTCTCCCATCTACGGAGTCTAACCCTCCCCTTCCTCTCGTTTCAGGCGCGTGCGACACCAACACCCTCTTCTTCGGTGACGTCAACTTATCAACTGTACCACCCTACCAGCTGACCGTGGTCTCCGCTGTGGGAACCTACGTCCTCGAACCCAACAACGTCTCCCTGGTTGCCTACCGACACATCGGCAGACCGGATCAGTTTCTTCTACAGGAGCCGACAGCAGCGGCGCAGAAAAACTGGGTTGTGGCAACACTGCCCGATAATAAGAAGCCGGCTGAAGTGCAGCATGCGTACGAGGCTTGGCCGGAGGCGGGGAACATCCTCGCACGTGGAGAGTTTGAAGGAGAACCGTGGGCCCCCGGTGCTGGAGCATGGGAGGTGAACGATTGTGACGAGGGCCGCACGCCACTGCCGTCGCTGAGTTTGTCGTGTGTGGCGCCCACGTTTGGGCAGTGTGCCACCGAGCGGTGGCTTGTGGTCGAACCAGACTCGTCGTTCGTGGATGTCCTGACACCGGCCGAGAAGGAGGTCCAGAGTCATGGCCGACGGGAGTTCCAGTCACCGTCGCAGCGCGTGTACGTCGGAGATGATGGCCGCTGGAGGCTGGCCTCCAAGAGCCCGGCGAAGGTGAAGCTCGTGTCCACGACGACGGCGGAGAGGTTGGAACACGTCCGGGGATGGCGTGCAGTTAGCGATGCTGGCGCCGAGTCGGAGACAGAGATTAAGATCGAGTGCGAGCCACTCAGATCCGGAGGGACCGACTCGTGTGCCGCCAACCCCTGCAAGAACAACGGCACGTGTATCGCGGTACCCGACTCGCCGGGCGCCTACCACTGTCGCTGTCAGTTCGATAGCGTCAGTCTCAACTGCGAAGCGGTGCGGGAGTGTCGCGTGCCCAAGCGGGTCGCCAACGCGCAGCTGCTCTTCACCAGCGACCTCTCGCCCCAGGGTAAGGCGTTCTACCGGTGTGATGTCGGTTACTACGTGAAGAACGGCACCGGCTCGGCGGGGAATCGCACCACGAACAGCGCCTTCGCCACGTGTGACGGACGTAGCTGGAACAACGTGCCCACGTGCGAGCCCATCACCACCACCGTCACCATCGAGGCTGCCTACGTGCACCACTGCAACTTCGACGCCGGCTGGTGTGACCGCTACCAGTACGGCGCCACCCTGACACCCACCGGGCGCACCCTGAGCTGGGAGCGTACCGCCTCGCAGGAGGAGGGCCGCGGCCACTACGCCAGCGTGCGTCACTCGGGACCGTCTGCTGAACGCCAGCTGGGTGTACTCCAAACGCCGTGCATGTTCGTACCCACCGAAGGCTGCGTCGCCGTGGATGTTCTCCTTGATAAAAATGCCACGCTTACGATCGTGGACGACGATGAAGTCACTCTCTGGAGAACCGCCAGCGAGACGCAATGGACGACCGCAACGCTGACGCTTCCTCCCGGCAGCAACCGGCTCTCGTTTGAGGCAGTTCTGGGACGCACCGGAGCGAGAGTTGCCGTCGATAATATTCGCGTGTTCCAGTGGAATTGCGGTCAGGTGACCAAGCTTCTCTTCCCTCCCCCTCCGTCTTCTCGATCGTCGGCGTCAGCAATGCTCGAGGCCGTGACGCCTCTGCTTTCGCTGCTGGCACTGCTCGCCTATAGCAAGATGGCCGGCGTGCTGGCTGCCTAAGATGACCGCGTTGATGGCTCTACCAAGATGGCCGTCGTTAAAACGGCCAATACCAAGAAAGCCGACGAGCTTACAGCAAAAAATACCAAGCAAGCATGCTGAGAATCGCAAAGAGGGCTATAGTTACGGCATCCGATTCACTGGCGAATCGCAGCTCGCGACAAGGAGTGCTGAAAAGCAGGGCGGTCGCCTAATAGATGTCGCAATTGGGAAAGTGATCCTGGCACCTGACCATGCTGATACGACCTGCACCTTGATGCCCACGCCCGAGGTTCTGTCAAACCGGTTGGGTGTGCATTGCTTAAGCTGTTTATGTGCAGGTGCTGTCGGATTGCAAGCTTTCCATCAACCTGCGGCTGCCTTGAGGGTCATCTTTAGTTCCCAGGAGCAATGCTTACCAGAGAAACCCAGTAGCTGGGATCAGTTGTAACGTAACCAGTTAGCTAATTCGCACTAACTCTTTTCGACTCATTATTTTTATTAGACGGTGTGAATTTCCAGACACTAAATGGGCCTTAACTACCTAAGGGTCCAATGTCTTTCCCTGGACCTTGAAGAACGTACATTGTACAATCCATACTTAAACCTGAGCCAGTTCACTGTCTATGAGGACCTTTTATTACACATGTTTATCCTTTTGTACCGAGATACCAGCGCGCAGGGCCCACTTCATTCGACGTGCATTTTTAACAACACTTTTATTGGCCAGTAATTACTCATTAGACTAATGCGTCGCGGTAGATGCGGACAGGGACCCGTACGGATTGGCTTTACTGTTTGAACATTTGGAACAAATGCCTTTCGCTCGGCGGCAGATTGGTACACTCGGGGGCAGATTGATGTTCCACCACTCCCTACCCATCGGGCTCCCATGGCTCAACACTGGCCGCTGCCAGTGTTGCCTGCCCTCAGCACTGCTCAGCACTGCCAGCCAGTGCCAGTGCTGCCAGTGCTGCCAGTGCTGCCACTGGCAGCAGCCAGTGCTGAGCCATGGGAGCCCGATGGGTAGGGTAGGGAGTGATGGAACATCAATCTGCCCCCGAGTGTACCCCCAATGTACTAGGAGCTCGAGGAAGGCCGCAACGGCAACTGCGCTATACAGTGCCCAGGGCCCTGAAAACAGTGTCCAGGTATTTGGCGTCAACGCCATTTAGGGATGATGTCCCGTTGTTTTGATTAAGAGTGGACCCTTTTGAGAGAGAAAAGAAATATTGCCTCAAATGGACCATTCAGCTCGTCGAAATTAGTTTAAAGTAGTCTTTTGGCTGTCGTAGTATATAGGTCGTATCAGTACTTTGCCATGTCCCACAACTAGGCCAATTTTGGCCACATGTGCGGCCTCCTCAAAATCACTTTTAAATCGACCTCGTGTAAACTTTCTATCAGTTTCCCGAAAATGCAGAAGCGTGAATTAGCAAATCTTGGCCAGTCCGCATTAGTCGGCTTTCGTATCAACCGCAACGACGGGCTCTCTAAAGGTCAGCTCTCCTCGCCCGCACGTCTGTTATACAGGCTCTCAGCGATCAATGTGCTGTGACGTCACTGTGTCAGTGACGTCATCGGGGCTTTATAAGCGACGCTTTGCCTCCAGGGATGCCGTTGGACTGCGGAGTTGAGGCATGCGAAGGCTGACTGACGCTTTGATGGAACTCATGTATCTCTATTGCGGTTTCGATCTCTTGGACTTGGTCGGTACGCTTCAGCGCAGGGGACAGGCTTTCTGTGAACGTCGCAAGCTTTAGCTGTGGGCAGGGCTGCGGAGTCGGAGTCGGAGTCGGAGTCGGAGTCGGTCGGAGTCGACAGTTGTGACCGGAGTCGGAGTCGAAGTCGGAGTCGATTTTAGAAACCCGAGCCGGAGTCGGAGTCGGAGTCACCGAAAATCTGTCGACTCCGCAGCCCTGCTAGGTCTGCGGAGTCGGAGTCGGGAGTTGGAGTCGTTCGGAGTCGACAATTCTGCCCGGAGTCGGAGTCGGAGTCGGAGCTGGTTTTTGAAAGCCGGAGTCGGAGTCGGAGTCGCCGAAAATCCATCGACTCCGCAGCCTTGGCTGTGGGTCGTCTGTAAAACGTTCGCGAAGAGCTTTGACGACTGGTGATGTTATAGGCTTCAGCTTGAGGTCGCTTCTTTTCTCTTTCTGCATTTTTGCAGGCGCTGTGTGTCACACTGACAGTGCTGTTTTGGTCGCTTGAAGAGCTCTTATTACAGAGCTCAGAAGGTGTGGCCGCAGACACGGTACGATGGCTGTGTCAAGAGGTCTGAAAAGGTCACACTGCGCGTGGACGCCGCCGGTGACCTTTGGTCCGTGCTGGTATCTTGGATTGGCCAGCAGCGGTTAGTTAGTCATTTCTGGCTGAAATGTGTATTTTTGCGCTACTGTGAGTGTGGACTTTTTGTCTCGGTTGCCGTCCACTGTTGTCCGTGCGATGCGCATGTTTTGTACCGCCAATGGCTTTTCTGTCCGAAAGCTTCACATTCAATTAAATCCTAATATTTCTATCGCTAACCTAGCCATTGTGTCACGCGTTGTCGTAAAATTGCTAAATGTTGCTTGTAAGATTGTCGGTAAGCTTTTTAGGTGCTCCGTACCTGCTGTGCTATCACACCCGTCTGTGTTCTGATATTGTGACGTTAATAATCCGATCACATGTTAATCACAATAGCCAATGTACTCCGCTTTGTGACTAAGCTGTTAAACATTTATAAGAGCACTGCGCCGATGAGACTTCATGTACCGCATAGCACGTGCTCCGCAGTTTTAGTACAACTGCGTGTAGGTAAGTGTGCGCGGCCCGATGGGCTACCCGGGCTATAAGGCTAATAATGGCATCAGTCTTATGGCCTGAAAGCGCATTACCGAGTGAAATGCCGGAACGGGTCAATTCGCTTGACAGAATTGGCTTCGGTTAGTGGTAGCCGGTCGTCTAACTTCGGTTGACAGAGCTGCAGGTTGTAATTTTTTCGGTGTTCGGCTTAGGTACCTGATACACTCCTGTACATTGTGTTTTGAACCTAATATTCTTGCCATGTTTTTTCGGGTCAAAAGATGTGTGTGATCGTCTTTACCCTGATTTTTCATTCTCGCACCATTTGGTGGCTGGTTATTGTGATGCCGTACGCATACAGTTGTTCTAAAAAGAAATCAATAAATGGATTATTTTAAGAAGTGTCTTGTATCGCTAAAATCCTGCTGTATAGCTGGTGTTTTAACTTCAACTGACCATGACACGGTAGCACAACCTAACACGCCGGTCACAGCCCGCGTAGAAATTCGGAGTCTCTGTTGGGTTGGGTTCGCTCGAAAGTACCTCGTTTGCGTAGTCGGTAGTGGTATGGCTCACTCAAATGCTACTCAATCATATGAGATAGCGTGATAAGTGATGACGCATGGTCTCGATAGCTCAACTGGTCGGGTAGGTGTCAAATTTGCCATCGTGAAACTTTAATTTAAAGCGATCACGAACCTAATTGGCTCGAGCAAGTAGCAGCGGAAACTCGAGGCATATCTCCTTCTGATTGGGCGCCGATAGAATGCATTTAGTACCTAGATGCCTTTGCATGACTGAATCGTCAGAAATAAGAATTTCAAGCTGAATGTGGGTGGCAGATACTGAATTTGATCTGATCAGACTTCTGAGCGGGTAAAGACGGTTAGGGTAGCTGACTTGTGCTTTGAAGCCGTCATCCGTCGCAGCTGCCACTAGCGACAAATGCCCAAGCAAGTTGCCTCATAAAAACAGTAAACCGGCTACAAATAATTGTTCTCCTCGTTTGTCGTTCCAGAAAAAAGCGGTCGAAATTTTGAACTTCTGGTTCCTGTTCCGGTTTAGGGTACCTACGCTCCGTTTGAAGAATGAGATCTCAGATGACACTATTGAGTATTGAATGAGCATTGAGCCGCATTGGGCTCCGGAGAAGGCTCCAAAATGGACTCTGGTTCCGTGTGAATTCACAGTCGGGCTTAAACTAAGGGTTTTATAAATCCTATTATATCGATAGAACTGTTGACCGGTTACTTTCCTTCAGCGAGCATCATGTTTTATAATATCGCCTAGTGTCTTTTATTTAGTAGTTTGTTCCCTGTCCTGGAAAAGCCTTACGATTTTGGTGGTTTTGCGACATATACTTTTAAGGTACGGTTCACGTCGAGCCATTGTTCCATGGTTGAGCATAGACTGTATTGCATTGTTTTATTTTTTTTGTTTTTTCATATCATATCAAAAGTTTTCTTCAAGAGTATGAAAATGATTTTTAACCCCGCTTTATAAAAAAATAATTATGTATCATCCCTTTTCCTATTTGGTTTAGCTCGATTTAAAGGGACCCTCCCACCTTCAAAAAAGTTAATGAATTGGCATGAAAGTGATGTCCCTTGGTTCAGAAAGAGCGAAAACGAATATCTACCAAATTTCACCGAAAAATATTCACTGGTTTTCAAGATATTAGGCTTTTACTTTTGTTTACTTTTTGGGATCTCCCCTGTTACTAGCGACTTTATTTGGAAGCAATAATTTGGCAGCCCTTAAGTGCGGCAGACGTTGCGCGCAAAGCAGCGTATACCACCACGTGTAAACGATGGTTTTAGTCTAAGATTTAAAAATCGTTAGATCTCCGCTGACGTCACAAATTCTAAGGGGGCATTCCAATGCATTAGCCCCTTAGAATCCGAAAACTGCAAGTTTGAAATTCCATATCTTCGAATTAAAGCATTTTTCGATGTTGTGAGTGTCCAAACCGGTATTTGCAGGTCATGGCCACCAATTTGGCTATCTCAACTCAAAACTAATGTTAAGGTGGGAGGGTCCCTTTAAACTCTACATCTGCTGTTGGGGTTGTGCCATGAACACACCTTTAGTTATTGAAAAGTGAGATTTGTAAATTTGTGTAGAATGTGGGGCGAGGTGGCGGCTGGAATTAGTCAATGCGTTTTTCTCCTTATTTTGTCGTAAATATTGGTGGGTAATTTTATGTTCCTTCCCAAAATTTCAATGTTTTATAGCTGTCATGCTTTTTATCTGCAAACTAAATCAAGAGAGCTTATCATGTAGGCTCGAAAGTTGCTGATAAATCATGATGGGAAAGGACATTGACATTTCAAAGTAAATTTTTGCTAAACAAATAGGTAATGTTCAAGTCTCGAAGGCAACAGCTGCATTTACCTGTTTGTTTGAAAGTCCCTAGTTCTACCCAAAATGTTGCAAAAGATGTCATTGGGGACGCCGGTGAAAACAGGGCGCCGGAGGGCATATTAGTCACGTGACGTTTGGAACTTCTCCCCGTCTGTGGGCCTTCTACATCCTAAATGTCACGTGTCAATTTCACGAACCTTGATCAAATCGCCCCAGGCGCCCTGTTGTCACCGTCGTCCGTCATTGGTGCTTCACAACAACTAGCACGATTTTATTCAGAGCTATGAAGAGCATACCATTAAAATATAAAGGTAGAATAAATTAGTCAGATGCTCACCGAATACCTTTTGCAACCAAGCATGATTGGTAGTAGTAAAGCAGGTGTCACGCTTGTTTTTTGCAACCACTGAGAGGCGCTGTAGGTAAGGTTGTGGGTCGTATGCTTTATGTGGTGTGGTAGGTTGTAGGTAAGGTTAGGTCAGGTTTGGTTTGGTTTGGTGAAAAGCATTGCTGGGTATAGAGCCTCTCCTTGGTTGCAAAAAACAAGTGTGATGGTGGAATCCTCTTTTTGCACCCTAGGCTTGTAAATGATTAGAAACCAGGCCATATTGTAAAAAAAGACATAGGTATTAGCCTAGAAAATTGTTCAAAGAATCATTTACGCTTGAAAAAATTTAGGTTCACTACAAGCAGAAATAACAAAACCTAATCTAACCTGACCTTACCGTACCTAACCTAACTTCACTACCTGAATCAATGGGTGGTTGGGTGTAACTTATAAATGTTTTGTGGAAAAAGTAGAAGTATTGAGATGTGATCTCACGTTTTATGCTTAAAAGGGTGTGTTGTTTCCTTTCATGTTCATATTTTGTTAATTTGTCCAGTTTTTGGAGGGTGCTATAAGAGGAAATGACCAGTTTGATGCCTGCATTACAACTACCACATGATTTAGGTAGGTATCTCTAAAGCAGATTATTTTCTGAGACATTATGGTTTCAGGGCAACCATAGTATAAGTCAAAACACCTGTAAAACTAAAAGTCCATGACTTAATTGTGGCATGCTAATTAAACATTAAAATTAAAGTGCATGATGCCTCTTATTAGTCTGAAAGTAAGTTATCAGGTAGGCAACTTTAAAATGCAATGATATTTAATTGCTTTCAGACAGTGCAATAATTTGTGGTATACCTGAGGAAGGAATATGGAATGACATAAAAGATTATTGATGATTGGAAATGAGTTTTAGTGTTTTCGTTTTTAATGGAAGTAGCATTTTTCATAAATTCTTATAAAACAAGTCCTACTTTGAAAGAAATAGTATTGGCAACTGGCACAAAATGAATGTAAATACTGCTTTTTTACCCTAACCATAAGAGTTTTTCAATCTGCTAACTGGACTATCATTACAGGACAAGTTGAGTTTGAAGCTGTTGTGGTGTTTTATTCTAGTCTTGTCTTACACAAGTATTATTCCATTTATTTGAATAGCATTAACACACAACCTTAAATTTAGGAATGTAGTCAATTTAAGCAATGTATTACTTGCTATTCTAGGGAGTTGATAAAATATTTAGAACATTTCTGCTTCACTAACAAGTTAAGGTTCCTTACAAATATTTCTGCTATTAATCTCCTGGTCCTGGACGTCCAATCACAGCCTCATTTCTGATAATGACCATTTCCACCCACAGGATCGCCAGTACTCCGCAGAACTATCTGACGATCTGACTCTGCACTGCGAGGACCACCGCCATGTACTGCGAGGAGGACGTTAGTGCCAAGGCGGAGCGCGCCTTGGAGGAGGCCCGCGCCGGCCTGCCCCTGCCCGCGCGCCGCCGGTTCTCCATCGCCGGCCGACTCAGCCGGCTCTGGTCCGAACGTCGACGTCGCCGACGCGACGAAGACGACTCCGACGAAGCGGACGGACGTCCCCTGCTCGCCGTTCTAGCCGAGCGCGAGCGTCTCAATGTGCTGCGAGTGAACCTCTATCCGGGGGATGAGGGCTACTCTCTGGCTCTCTGCGCGCCGGACGGCTCAGAGGCGGAGTCCTTCCGACTGCGGTACGAGGAGCGGGAGCTGCTGAGGTGCCTGGACAACGAGGAGCTGCCCTGTGAGCTGTTGGAGCTGCTCGATCAGAGTGGGTGTCGGGTGTTTGTGGCTGGCTGCGTGGTGGCCGAAGTGCGTGATTTTCGACGCTCAGTGTCTCCCGAATTGTGCACGTCGACGTATGTTCTCCTGCGGCCCAGTCAGCGGACAATTCTGGCCGATCTGAACCGTATCTTTGCCGAGGGGGAGTTCACACACGAGGAGCGGGTACAGATCGAGGCGCGGATCGCGCTGGCCACCGCCCCGGCGCTCTGCCTGGACCCATCTCCGGCCGTCGGACTCGTCACCAACCACCAGCAGTGGTCACACCGAGCTCTGGACTCGCCGGCGCTGCGGCGGGCCGCAGAGAGACGCAGCCAGCCGGCGGCCGCTCGACGGCGGCGTGCCACCGAGCTGCCGCCCCCGCCCGGCCCTCTGCGGCTACACCAGTTCCTCCGAGACAAGGGCCGCCTGGGAGCGCCTCCCGCCAAACGCGCGCGCTGCTTTCCGCCCATCAGTGACCTCCCGGTGGTGACGGCGCCCCCCTCGGCGGCAGTGGAGGTACGGCAGCGCGCGAGGCGGCAGGAGTTCCCCGCTGAACCGAGCAGGGACGCGTCGCTGCACCTCCGAGAAGATAACGCTGTGGAGTGGGATCGGGGCGGCGGACGGGTGATGCATATGAAGCTCTCTGTGTACCTCCGTCCTTCGGATGCTTCCTATCACGGACAGTTGTATGTGGATCGTGATTATAAAGAGGGACGCCGTGGCGGCGCGTGCTGTCGTTTTCCTCTCTGCTGTCGCGCGGCCGCAGATCTGTACGTCAAACAGTGCATCGAGATCTTCACCGAGTACGGCAAGAAGAGCGCTAAACTGACGCACCAGGCGGTGGGTCAGCCGCCGAGGGTGACACTAACTCGCGGCGCGCGCGAGAGGAGGGAGTCGCAGACGGCTCTCCCGTCGGCGGCTCACTCTGCCGCGCCGGCCCTGCTTGCCGCCCAGCAGCAGCAGAGAGTAGCGCTGGCGCGCAGCAGCACCCCGGCGCTGGCGGCTCAGCTGCGCACTCCGCCTCAGCTGGCGGCCCGCGCGGCGCCGCTGGCAGCCCAGATGGCGCAGGCGCTCGGCCAGGCGCGAGTGGCCACACACAAGCCGGCCGCGCCCGCGCTACCTCCTCAGGGCTCTGTGGCGGCGGTGGTGTCTGCGCCTCAGACTATCCAGATCAAGGTGTCGGCTCAGAACACGCAGATGACTCAGCTACTACAGAGTCAGTTGCAGCACATCCAGGTGACGCTGCCGCAGCAGGTGTTACCCACTGCCCGTCTCGCCGCCCCCGCCCCCGCTCCCACCGCGGCGCCGGTGCGTCAGGCTCCTACCGGGCTGCAGGCTCTGCTGGCTGACACACCGTCCGCCGACAACCCGGCGGCGGGGACGGGAGTCGGCCCTAGTCTGCTGGAGAAACTGGTGGCCTCGTCAGCGCCAGTATCGGCGGCTGCGGTGGTCACTGGTTCGGGTACGAAGCTCCTACCGCTCTCATTTAGGGTACCAAACCCGGCGGCTACGCGGCCGGATTTGGTGACTCGCGTGGAGCGGCAGAATCCGACGCTGACCGAGCTGCTGAACGCTCCACCGGCGGCGGGGAGGCCCGTCTCTGTGCCGGCTGCCGGTCCAGTGCCGTCCCCGGCGCCTGTGCCCGTCCAGCCGGCTGTGCCGCAGAGTCTCCCGGTCCCGCCGCCGGCTGCGCCGAGCCAGCCGCCGCCTCAGGCTGTGTCGGGGGCCGGAGGGGATCTGCTCAGCACGGCGCTGCAGCTGGTACAGAACGGGGACCTGCTGGCGGAGCTGGAGAATCTGGACAGTCTGCTCAACTCTGACGGGGCGGATGGTCAGTCTGCGCCGCCGCAGCAGCCGCAGCCTCCCCCTCAGCCTCAGCCTGTGATGGTACAACCGCAGCCCGCGCCGCCGCCGCCGCCGCCACCGCCTCCACCGAGACTGCTCCAAAAGTCTGAACCTCCGCCTAACGTCAACATCCGTAACCTACTCTCTGACGGTGTGAACGTGACAAATCTCCAACATCTCCAGCAAGGTCTGCAGACGATCCCCGGTCTCCACAACGTTCAGGTGTCGATCCCAGGAATGAGCGCGCCGATTTCCATCAACGTCGGTGGAGCTCCTGCGACCTCCGCCCCGCGCGTGCTGCTGACCTCCCCTCCCTCCCCTGCGCAGACTCTGCGGCCGGCGCCGTCTCCGCGGCAGTCGGTATCACCCGCGCCGCTACCTTCACCAGTAGGGGCGAGTGTGGGTCTGCAGCGCCCGGCGCAGTTCCAGGTTCTCTCAGCGGTCGCCGGTCGCCGTGCGGCCGGACCCGTGTTGGTTACCTCCCAGGCAGGGGGAGCGGGGAGTCAGCAGGTGTACCTAAAGACCGAGTCGGGCGCCGGGGGCCAGCAGATGATCCTCACAACTCAGGCGGGAGCCGGGGGTCAGCAGGTCATCCTAACCACCCAGGCGGCTGGCGGGGGCGCGCAGCAGGTGTACCTCAAAGCGGAGCCATCGAGCGGCAGCACGGGTCAACAGGTGATCCTCTCCAGTCAGACGCAGGGAGGGCCGAGTTTCTCAGTGGTGCAGGTACCGACCGGAAGGCTGTCGCTGACGCAGCAGCAGCAGCAGCGACTTCTACTTCAGAGGCAACTGCAGCAGGCGCAGCAGAGGAAGCCGTCCAAGTAGCGACCTGCGGTGGCCCGGTAGCTGTGCTTCCGGTGACCTCTGGCGCCCCCGGCACAGCTGCCTTTGAAGGCCTCGACCTCCCGCACCGCTGCGTGCCTGTCTCGCCCAGTCACCTCTCAGGAGTTCTTTGTACGCTTCATCAAATGTCCAGCTCATGACAGGTGGACATTTCTGAGCTAACGAAGCCGGATATTTTGCGGTTGTCTACCCACGAGCGAATGCTGAACGAACCCGAGGTACTCTAAGAGCAGTTTGTTGTTCAGTGATGATCTGTGCCTGCATGAGAGTAGATGGGTAAAACTTGGCTCTGTATCAGATCGATGTACTGAACGGTGACCAGATACGCTCGGTAGGCCGGTTAGCCGGTGAGCTCTGAGCTGTTAGAGCGGTGAGTTTCGAGCTGTTGGAGCAGTGAACACCGAGTGATGAGCGGTGAGCTAGTTGTTGAGCGGTGAGAGCTGGCTCTCTCACCACCTGAAAACTAATGAGAGCTAGAGTTAACAGTCAGCTCTCTGTATCAAGGTGATGGTTGTGTTGCCTGATCTCTGCAGCATGTGTTCTAGCTGAGTCGCGAATGGCTGCTAGCGCTAGCTGCTAGTATCATTCTCCCCACGTGTGACATCCCCACAATGAACTGGGCTGATCTGATGCCACGCGGCGTGCTTTCGCAAATGATGGTCTCGTTATGTCTCAGTCTGTCCGTCAACGAATCATAGTGGGTCTTACTCGCGACATGAATACGTAAAGCCTATGTTTTTATCAAAGACCGTGAACACTAATTCTATTTATTGATATTCCCTATCAGCTGTTAGAGATGTGGAGTTCTTTATGTGAGAGTCTGCCAAATAATTGGTTTGTGTGCCTATTATGTAGCCTATGATGACGTCCATGCTTATGCATAATGTGTCAGTGATGGTTGTAACTATTGAGTGTTGGAAAGTGACCGTAGAAAGGTGCCTATTTTACCAACCGCGCCGCTGGTGCGCGGATAGTGTGTGGCATTCATGAACTTGCATGACAATATATGTACAACTGACTGCTGGGTTTAGCCGGGTCTGACCTAAAAGGAAAGTCGCTTCATTGCTTTCTGATGGGTAGGAATTTGCCTCTAGTGAGCTGTAAACAAACAGATTGGGAGCCGCGAGGGGACCAGCCAAAAGGGCTAAACCGGGCAATAAAATAAAAAGTAATGTATCCGCCTTGTAGCCAACAGTTGCGCACCATTTATATCTTCTCTCGTAAGGCAAACCTATCTACCACCCGCCTGATTCTCTTCAGTGAGGTAATTTGCTGCGATCGTGGCCAGACACGGCTGGTCAGTTTAATCTGAAGAGATACAGTCACCAAACTGTAGTCGCCAAAGATCGCAGGTAGTTCAATTCAAACATGTATTGCCCCTTCAATCGTCAGACATGGCACCATTTGCTTGAATCACATCTGATTGGCGCACACATCACAAACAAAAACAACATTCACACTGGAGATGACGGCAGCACACGAAATCATTTCAAATCTGCCAGTCTCGCCTCAGGCTTACCAATTACACTCACGACGAGCAAATGGTGACATAAATGAAATCGGTGTTGGCAGTTTATTCATAAACACCAATCTTCCATCACATGGCTCACTTTACTTCAGAAAGGTTTGTAACAAAAAGGGCATCTGACCTGTTTGAATATTTAACAAAAAGTTCATTCCACTTCAATATCAAAAGTCCGCTAAATCCGACAAACACAGCGACTGTGCGAGGAACTGTCCACCGCCGAGCAGACCTCACGTGACCCCTGACCTCGCGGTTCATCCTGACCTCAAGTTTTGCCCGCCTGGTCCAGCAGTGACCTGACCTCTCCCTCCGCCCCCTCCGCCGGCGTCACTCCGTCCGTGTCAGTGACCTTCGGGTCCGCGCCCGCCTCCAGGAGCACCCTCGCGACTTCTGTGTGCCCGCAGCTAGCCGCGTAGTGGAGCGGCGTCTGCCCATCCGCGTCACGGCAGTCGACAGTGGCGCCTCTGGTGAGCAGCAGACGAACTATGTCGACATGACCGCGATCGGCAGCCCAGTGAAGAAGACGCAGACCCTCTCCGTCAGCCGACTCGCAGTCAAATGTGGCCCGCTGGGCTAGTAGATCACACCTCCCCGCCTTTACCAAATCCAGAGGGGACGCGTCGTCGCCGACCGTGGCGCCATCTTCCTCTGCACGGACTGGAGTGGAGACGGCGATACCAAGTCCCCGCGGCTGGCCGGCGGTTTCGGCGTCCCCTCCAGACATCCAGTTGGGCTGCAGCTCGGTGAGAATCTCCACATAGCGCCGCTTCGCCTCGAGTTCCGTCATCTCGCCCAGAGATTTCCATGCGTCGAATTTGCGCCGTGCGGAGAGGCTGAACAGTCCCGGTCTCTGCCCGCGGCATTCGCCGCAGGTTGCCTGTTTGTAACACGCGTATAGTCTGAGAAGATCGTCGTCCGGCAGGCGACCGGAAGAGGCGAGGAGCTCCACGCAGCGCGCCGCGTCGTCGAACGCTTCGGAGATCATTTCCTTTTCTAGGTCGCCCATGGTGGTTGACGGTGGCGGCGACTAACGTTGGAAAATTGTACTAATAGTTCACAAATGGTCACAGGTGGCAGCACTATCACACGCACCGCGCACTAGCGGGTTATGTTCCTACTTCCTACTATTCAGCGCGTCCTATTCCGAGCCAGGGCCCTTCCGTTCGCTGACCGATAGATGGGAGCCCTCCAAGACGTGGCCCGGTTTGTTGATGAATGCGTTGAAGCTCTCGCGGGTCTTCATGGTCACAAAGCCATAGCCCTGCAAAACATGAAACAGAGACAGGTGTAAAATGACTCCTAAACAACAAAACACACTTAGTTGCAAAGATTGGAGAACAGTTTCAACAAGTTCTCAATTAGTCTGTGGGCAAGCAAAAGAAGATGTCACTTAACATCTGGTAAGAAAATTAGGCCACACAAAATAAGTGGTGCACTGCAAACTAAATAATCTTTACCAACTGTGGTGAGACATTACATAATCAAACATGTTTGACTAACAGCAGAATATCACTCTGATCAATAAAACAAAAAATGTTTAACATACATTCAATCAGATAGATTTAGATTTCAGACTGACAAAGATTCATAATTACAAATGCAATCATATTCTGACTTAGCAAAACCTAGAAACCATCTGCAAAATAGCAAAAGGTTCATCAGTCTTTGTGGTATCAAAAGATAGATGAGTTTTACAAATAATCAGCATACCTTGCTCAGGCCAGTCTTGGGGTCAAAGACCACACGGGCCCAGGCGACGGGCCCAAACTGGGAGACGTAGGAGCGCAGCTCGCGGGTGCTCACTGTCCACGGCAGGTTTCCGACGAACAGCGACAAGCCCTGGCGGGAGGCCATCACCTGGTGACACACACATAGGGGTGGGTGGTCAGGTTTGATAACTCAAGAATTAAACATGCAATCTTCCAGCTTTTTGGATCAGGATGAAGCTCAATTCATGTTTTATTATCATGAGCATTACATAACAAAAGCCAAAGTTGTGAATGTAAATGAGGAAGTGTCGACTAAGGGATGTTACGATGACCCTTTGTAATCACTTAAACATACAGAAAATCGGAAATTAAGGCAAAACAGAATTGAAACCCTTCCCTTCGTCCTTCGACAATGAATGCATTCATGCAAAGACAACTGCGAGGCGATAACACATAAGATGTGTTTTTACAATAGTTCAGTTGCATGAAATTAATTCTTAAGTTGAAAAAACCCTTTTAGCAATAACTCACCTTATGCAGACAAAAATAAACACCACCGCTCCACTGTTCCGTGAAAAATGCCGACGTCAAGGATGTGTCTTTACTGCAAAACGCACCACGTGATAGCACTAAAACGCTGCAAAAAATATATACCCACAACTTCTTCACTGCCAGATTCGCCACAGACTTATCGTAAAGAAGATAGCAAGTCATGAAAGCCGCAAAGCCATTGAATAGGATTCAACCATGTTCTTTTGTGAATTTCCTAATATTGGGTATCTGAATATGCATTTTGACCGTAGTGGGCCAGAACTTATAAAAAATGTATCAAATCAATACCTATCATACATTAGCCACGGACATTAGCCAATGGGCATGTCATTACAGCTGGTCTTCAGCGGCCCATGGGCTGAACGATGAAATCACACGAGACATCGACGGTACGTCGGTACGTCGATCTCCTTATCAACTTCCTCGTCTAATGAAGTACCCCATGGTACCCCATGAAGTACCCCTCCGTAAACGGATGAAGGATCCCCGAGGATGTGATCGTGGCGAATGGGTTTCAGAAGCAATGAATACCATTACGGTGGTGGCTCCTGGCCTATAAGTTGGTTAGTGAAGGGGGTTTTGAACATCCAAACATTGACGGAATTCAAACCAGATCGAAACGATCGCTCACCATGCACACATTATATTTCTCCAGTCATGAAAACGTTATCAGAATTGCTTAAAAACTCCATCACAGGCCGAATAACCCTGCTAGAATTACCTACTAACGGCACATATTTCGCGCAAAAACCACGCAGACGTCCGTTTCGACTTTAGCTGGTCACACTTCCCAAAAGATGTGTTGACATTGCTCACCAAGTGTTAACGCACAGGTGACATTCCGCAAAATTCACAACTCAGGCGTACAACATGTACTCCAATGGGTTTCGACCTTCAAAAACAATGCCCCACGAGTCTCCGGTAGCTACCACAAAGCATGACAATTGACAATAAAACGACAACGCGACATGGGTATTGGGTATCAAACGGTTCACAGAACAATCACACATCGATGATGCGAATAGTACAATCGTCGGTCCAAAAAAGACAGCATCTCAAATGCACCATGCAATCGTGATTTCGGTCCGCTCTTGACACAAATTACAACACTACGAGGTAGGTACATAGATTGTAATTGTAATTGTAAATTGTAACCAACAGCTAAATCAAAACTGGCCGGGCTGAAAATAGTGCGAGACATTGGGATTCGCAGCAAAAATACACCTCAGTATTCATTCAATGCCTCGTGCGGCCCAAATCTCGTTCCAATGAATAATAAGAACTGGCATTTTACATTTGACAACTTGTTTTAAATATGGCAAGCTTTGAAAGACATTACCGAAGCTTCAGGACTTGCATTCAACGTTGACATTAACTGCATACACTTTCCAATGTGGTCCGAGCTCATTATCCAATACACATCCATCAAAGCACACTAATTTCAAACTCGATTGCACCAGCTTCTGAAATACAAACATTGCACAACCACACCACACAACGAGTAAATGACGTTGAGCCACACACACACCTTTCTAAACTTATCCTAGCAATTGCATTGTTGAAGTAGCACAGTCTGGTTTTCGCACAAGCTCGATACATATTACACAAATAGTTTCTAGGTCCGGTATAAAACGTTCCCCCTAACATTTTATAGTCACTGGCTGGTCAGAAATCTCGGCCAATTGAATATACACTAACGGTGGGTCCCTGTAATGCTGCAAATCGGCTGAGAGGTCTGTGACGTGTGATGGCTGAAGCCATGAGATACTTATCCGAGTCGGCATTGTTTCAACAGACCTGAAAACAGTGGGAAAGGTCACATAGCGAAAAGCTCAAATAGCCGCAAAAATGAAAAATACGAGTACTTACGATCCATCAAAAACGATAAAGCATGCGAATAGTGAATACGATACATTACAGGCCGGACAAAACGGTCCAACGGTCCTCCGTTTAATCTGGCTTCGACGAAAAACGCTGCAAGTGCGCATCACAAAGTATTAGTTCTAATATTCGCCGGTAGAGGGACAGACATGGCCACCGGACACACCACTAACAGAGTATTTCGATAACTGCGACAAAATTTGGCGAGCTCCACCCGATTCCACCACCATCTTGCGACACAAACTCACCATTCTGCTCCCTCCTCTCTCCCCGCCGTCGCTAGAAGCTTTCCGTGCCGGCCAGTTTCCGTAGATTTTCATATGTAAACCAGAAGGTGAGACTCCAGGGAGCCATGCGTATCCAGCAGGGCAGAAAGCCTTTGTACATGGCCAATAGACCCTCCTCTCGGACCAGACGCACGAAACAATCGATTGAGTTCCGATACAGCGTCCCTCTGGGGATAAAAGCACATGTGAGACTGCCAGGACCATTTTTATCAATAAAAATCAACCCAAAGTGCTGGTGAAAGGGACGTAAATGGCAGAGTGCAGACCCATGGAAAGTGTGTTCTGGGGGTGATTTTGTATTGGCGGGTGAGGCATAAAAATCATTAAAAAAGAAAATTAAAACACCAATCGATACCATGTCGAGTGCCCCCCCCCCTCTCCATCCCAAATTCGCACATAATTCTATTAGAGCGAATCAATCAATTGAAGTAAAAACATATCAACTCATGCTCTCTACCCGGTAAGCTCTTATCATTTTCTAGAACCACTACCGTCACCAAAAACACACTGCCTTGAGCCTTCTGCCCCTCCCTTCCCTCCCCGAGTGACCCCTCTCGGAGCGTATACCTTCCACTGGCGTCGGTGGGCTGATTCATGACGCGAGTCTTCACAACGTCGGCAGGGGTGCCCAGAGTGGCCGACACGAGGCCGGAGGCCACACTGTGAGCGACACGGGGTCGGCGGTCAGTCACGCTGTATGGGAGCGGACAGAGGCTGTGAGGGATGGAGGGTACGGTCAATCATACTTGAACAACAGCTAACAACAAGGGGAAGCTGTAAGGGGTAGAGGACAGGGCCAGTAATATCACATAACAGTCAACACGGACAATATGGAGGCTATCCTATGTGACGCAGTGTGCAGAAGTCCACAGCACAACACCCTGATGAGAGGAAAGATTAGAGTCAGGGACTCAGGGAGCATGAGCATTAGCAAGCTTCAGTCACATTATATTATTGTGTGTTTTTTGGGGCTTTAGGGTGCGCAGACTACTAAAGGTCATTTTGCGCCACATTACGCTACATCCCACAAGAATTAAGTGATATATCATTCCCATTAATTATGACAATTCTTTTAACTCCAGGCTATTCCAAATAACCTTATGGTCTTACCTGGACAAACCTCGTGCGACGGGACTATCTCCGGCACCCACCTGGCCAGGAAGTGTGTGACGGGCGTGTCGCCCAGGTTGGTGCCGCGCACCAGGCGCGCCTTCACCGAGTCGTAGGTAGTGAGGTCGCCCAGGTTCACCAGCGCCGAGCGCTGCACGTTCGGCACGCAGCCCTTCCACAGGCCGCGCGCGCCGCCCTCGCGGAGAATCTTGCGGAACGCGTGCGCGGCGTTCTTCACTCTGGAATGGGTCGAGAAGTTAACAATAGAATAGTAAGATGATTGAAGGAATATGAATAAAGCACTCGTCTCAAATAATTGTCGGCAGCAGGTAATTAGTTATTTAGGTGCATGCAAACACTCAACACCGCAGTTTGACAACGATATGTTGCCTTGCAAAGTCCATTTATTGTCTGTATGCGAGATTCTTGTCGTAACATTGACGAGCCTAAAATAGAACCGGGAAAGGGTGAATCACATGAAAAACATATGTGTCTAGGTTGAAAATTAATCAGTCTGTCACCAAGTTGCAGTCACATTGCGATTGCCTATACCGTAAACATAGCCCTTTTCGACGAGCACTTTCAGCACTGACCCAGTCACGGGCCCGGTACAATGAGTCATAGATACGCCCCAATACCGCGGCGCCGGTCGTCCATAGCCCACCCAATGTTGACCCGTCTCCAACCGCACCGCCGGCGCTGAGGTCACCTCGTCGTCGTCTGCGCTCGCACTCCCACGTTCTCATGAGTCACTGTCGCGTCGAAATTGTCGTAGTCGTCAGTCGACACCCCTCGCGTCCCCTAGTCCAGTCACGCCCCGTCTGCGTTCATCGATATAGCTGAGTAACTCCGATGTTCCCCTACCCAAAAAGGACGGGTGGATGACTCATGGCATTGATTGACAAGAGACGCCCAATCGCTGGAATGTTGGAGTGCAATGTCGTCCACATGACGGCAAAAAGAAGTTGGGATAAAAATAAAACAATTCAACGTAGCTCTTGCACGTTTGTGGGAAACTTTCAACCGTTAAACTTTATGTTTGAATTTTGTATTACAAACCAAAGTTTAGCGAACTATGAGGCAGTGGTTTGTGATTTAATATCACCTGTATCAAAATGATTTGACAGAATGATTGAATATGTCACATCATCAGCGGTTAGACATGCGCCTACATTTAAAAAGCAGTTACCGTACCTCCAATTTAATATCGCGCTTTCTTTTTACCACAGTAACCCGGTAACGCGCTCGTTTGTTCTATGGACACCTCCGTTTGTCCTGAATACCGGTACAGGCAGCCCCGTGGCCCGAATGGCGTGTGATCGGGCTGCCCCAGGTCACAGAGGTCAGCGGCGCGATCGACCGCAGCGGGTCAACCCGGTGACCTTTTGGCACCTGCACGTCCGGTACTGGAGCCAGTGGCGCCTCACAAGTTGTCGAATTTGTCGGCAGCAAATGGGGCACGCCTTAAATGAGATTAAAGCGACATTGAATGAAGAGTTTTCATTAATTTGTTGAGTGCTTGAGCAAGGAGCATAATACAAGCGTAATACACAAGTTTTAATGACCGGATCTCCTTGAAATTACCAAAATCGAAAAAGCTAAATATTTATTCGTTGGTATTCGTTGCTATTCGATAAGATACAAAAAAGTGATGAATTTTCGGTCACGGACCTTCTTCTGATCTAACTATGTTTTTGAAGTACAATTCAAACAAGATTCCTAGCGAACACATCTGCAAATAAAAGTTTCTTTTATTTTTATAAAAGAAACTTTTTTTTAGTTGACCTTAGATCACGTGACCTAAGGTCAGCTTTTGACCTTTCGACCTTTCGAGGTCAACATACATATGTTTCGGTGCGGATCGACGAGAGGATCGCGATGGTGCTATTAGTTTGTTCCTAGCTGGGATACCTTGAAAGTTATTCGAGAAAAACTTCATATATATGTATAGTGCCGCTATTTTGACTTCCTTTTAGCTCCTGTGACGTCATCTTTGACATGACCTGAAAATGACCTCAGTAAAAATTATAGACCTTATCCGTGTGTACCCTTTACCGTTTACCGCTTGTCGCTATCTTGCTTTATTCTCGAGATCTCGCTGTCGCTCCCGCTCGTAATAATGGACAGGTCATAAAAATGACCTGACCTGAGGTCAACGCAGGGCGATAACCACTTTTTTTACTATCGCATATGAATGACAATTGATAAGGCTTTAATCGTCATCAGACAAAATTGCAATTTTCAGTGGGGAAAATATCAAGGTCACTCTTCGAAAAATAGGACAAAAGGTCACGTGATCAAAATTTTCAAAAATTGAAAATCCGAGATAGCCAAAATGTTTGTTGATTGATTGTGAGTTGAACCATATCAAGTTTTCATCGTAAAAAATCAATAGTTTCTGAGTTATAGGCCGCCAAACATAGGGCTGCAGCGCGAACTCCAGGAATTGCCCGAGGCTATATCTCGGAAACCGTTGTTCGAAGAAAAAAAATCCTTGCCACAGCTGGCTTCCCCGCCCATCACAACCCCTTACACCAGTTTTCAACGAAGAATAAAATATGAGGGTGCAAATTTAATCTTTTATTTGTCGATTTGTCGTGGAACGCCCCAATGTTAAATTTCACGAAACGAATCTGCTGTTTGGGTAGAGGCTACGCGCTCATGGGGCGGAGCCACGTAATGACGTCAGCGCTAAGCTCCGCCCTACCCCTCCGGCGATCCTTGCCCGGCGACCGGTCACTCGCGTCTCTCGCTCCATTCAGGCTTGATGGTGGGCGGTAGCTGGTAGCGGTAGCGGGCGCTGGTAGATGGCATTTAGAGCAGATGGCGCTGGTGGCGGGGCTCGAGTGTGGCCGAGCGCAAGCCTCTGCCCGGGCCTGAATTGACCTTAACATTACGAGTGAATGAGAAGTACCTTCCATAATCGTTTGGCGTCAAAATACCTTAGTAATAAAAGTTTCGGCAGGTTCTGAAACATACATTGCCAGAATATTGTCAACGAAAGTTGACGCATTTAAAAATTATCGCAAAAAAGTGGGGTCTCAAGGGGTTTGACGTTCATAGTAGGTATCACGCATGTCATGCAGGGTAATCAGCCACGTATCGTTGGTCAAAACATGTGCGACGCGCGTTAGGCCAAAAAACGCCCACACACGACGCTAACAATGGCACAAACTTTACCAAATAAAATCCCTTGATGACCAATGCCTTCTAAAATCCCAGTAAATCCCAAATTCTCCTCTATCCGTCGCCGTCGCCGCCACTTCCCTTCCACCACCGTCGCTACAATCGGGGACCGGAAAACCCCGGTGGTAGCAGCTCAGCGTCGGCGGGGGCGCCGGATGTCCGGTCTTGGGGCCCTCCGTCCGCCGAGGGGCCGGTCGGCGTCCTCAGTCCGTCGAGGGGCCGGTCGGCGTCCTCAGAGACGGTGGTCGGCGATATGTGGTGTGGGTAAGACGGGTAGGGATGGCCCGCAGTTCCCCGGGTTTAGATAGAGCAGAGAGCGGCCACAAAAATATGACAAAATAACGAGAAAAGAAACCCAGGGAATCACGAAGAGGAATGCTAGGATGTCTGATGTCAGATTTATTCTGGAACTAAACCAGATAGGTAAAGTAATGTATACTCACCACTCAGGCCGTGTGTGCTGTATGTAGGACTGGCAGGGATGGCCCTGTGGTTTCCAGAGGGTTTAGATAGAGCAGAGAGCGGCCACAAAAATAAGACAAAATAACTGGAGGCGAAATCCAGGGACTCGGGAACCGTAATGCTGGAATTTCTGATGTCAGGTTTATTTATACTCGTAGTACGGACACTGGACAGACATGAGATGAGCACGACGGTAAGGTTATTTATCGCCACGCCGCTTTCTCAAAAGAGTGAATACTACCATTCCTGCATTTCAAGCGATACTATGACGACGGAGTAAGTTATTGCGCCCGAAACGCTAGTCATCCTCAGGCGCCCGTGATTTTCTCTGTAGCAATAAAATTTTGTTTAACCCTCGCATGTGTGCGGCGTTTTCCAGCTTCTAATGTGTAGGGGGGGGGGGGGGGTCGGTTGGACCCCCCCTTGCCGTTTGGCCCCTGATCGAGCTAGAGCTTCGCGGAAAAAACGAGCGTGTTGCCCGTGACGAGAGGAAGCCGATGATACCCAATTTTAAGGTCCGAGGTCATTGGTTGACCTTCCAGGTCAGGTCAATGACCCAAGGTCGGGAAAATCGGGACCTGTTAGAAAGTCGTAAAGTGTGGCTGCTAAGGGGTTTTTCGGGGTGCTGATCACGAATATCGTGTTAGTTTTGATCACAGATGATGTCTTTAAGCATTTAGACCAGGTCGGGTCAGGTCAGGTCAGGTCAACCAGTAGGCGTCGTGACGGGTATTAGTATTACGTGTCAACCGCCTCTGACAGCTTCGTAACATGTTACGAAGTCACCAAAACTACTTCGTAAATGTTCAAATGGTTGCCAAATTCGAATTCAGCTCCAAAAACTAGCCTAGAAACATGTAAAACTCGAAAAAGTGAACCGAGGTCACCAAAGGTCAATGACCTGACCTGACCTTCAGGTGACCTTGACACCCACCCTAATGCATGGGAGCAACATCAAATCACATGTTTGAACGTTTGAAACCACGAAAAGCTTGTAAACGCGCGGCTAATGCGAGCCGACATACGCGGAATCGCGATTCCGGCCAAACATGGTCTCGGAAAAGAGGTCACAGGTCAAAGGTCATTGGGGTCAGGGTCATGAAATTTTCAGGGTAGGTGTAAAATTGATCAATGCGAGGGTACTGAAAGTTTCGTCGCGATCGGCCACTTTTTACGCGAGTTATTCGTGAAAAACCATGGGGGGGGGTCCATCCGACCCCCCCCCCCTACACATGCGAGGGTTAAAATTCATCATATCCTGTGCAGGACCAGCCCCCTCACCTTTCCTGTCTCTCGCTAACCCCCTAACCCCCCTCCCCCCGCTCACGTCCCCTCTGGACCCACGGGGTGACTCAGGGCGCCCGTAGGTCTGAAGTATTGATCAGCGATTGGCGCCAGTGACGCTGTTACTGGCTCGCATGCAGCCCGGTTTAGTACCGGACTCTGGGGCCTGGGAACGTGTGGTTCAATAAAACTCAGGGTGGCTCCGTTTTATATCGCTGTGAGATATCTAGCTCGTATCGCCGTAAAAGTGGATTCGATGTAGTCGATTCATGGGACAAAATTCCCGAATCAATTTCGCTACAAGAGGGCATAAAGGTTTGTTTTCGCTTAACGCTGTTTTCTCTTCAGTTATGGATGTAGAATGAACATACCTTCTGTCCAGAACCATATCGCGTTAGATCAACGCAAGTGCATCCATCACAAGCCACGCACCTGGGCACGATGAATGATGCACATCGTTTGCTCTCTGAACTCACCTGGGTTTGTGACCCTGCAGCCGCCGCCGGCCTTCCATCTGCATCTGAACCTTGACGAGGTCAGCCGGGGAGGCCAGCAGCTGCCCGAGCCCACCGGCCAGCAGACCCGCGCCGGCCGCCTGCCTGCACGGGCCCAGGGGGGGGGGAAGATTCTTTGATGCGAGAAACAAAAACAATAGATCAACAGTAATCAATATCCGTCGTCAGTCAGCATTAATTCGAGCACGAACTTAGAAAAAAAACTTAGGACGAAGTTTACGAGCATAAGCTTACGAACAAGCAGACAAATACGAGGAGACCACCAACACAGCGGCAAAGACCATCACCATCGCACAAGCAGGACAGTTAGCACCGATGACAACCCTTCGAGACTCGCCAAAACGCACAAGTTAAACAAATCTAGCACTGTGATAAAAGGCTCTCCAGCGCTGACCTCCACTTTCTGCGTTTCACACTCGCCAGACGGGCAGGGGCCGGTTAAACAAATCCAGCATTGTGATAAAAGGCTCACCAGCGCTGACCATTCCACACTCACCAGACGGGCAGGGGCCGGCCGGGGGGCGCGATCCGATCCCGCAGCCACTCATAGCCATTCATTCGCACCCCCGTGTAGATGAGGTGGCGGTAGATGGCCGGTGTGACGCCCTGCCACAGACGGCGAGCGCCCTCCTCGCGCACTATGCCCGCCGCCGTGCGCAGGAACCCGCGGTATGGCGCCGCCTGGGGACGGAATGGGGGTGAACGGTTAGGTTTGGAACAGGGGGGGGGGGGCGAAACAGGTCACAACTCACAAGTGGTAGAGGGAACAGTCACAGGTTTGAGGGCAAAGGTGATGAGACAAGTGTTAGATGACAAGTGTTGACAGATGCAGTAACATTATATGGAAAAGTAGATGTTAAAAAACATCCATCGATTTGGAAGCTATAACCTTAGGCCTGAAAGTGTTTCCTGTTTGCTTCCAATCATGAATTGCACAGTACACAATAGGCAAATTATGTGTAAAGGAAAGGGACAACTTAGTTACTACAAACACTTTTTATGTATATCCAGAAAATAGCACAGAGGTTCCAAATAACCACACTCTGTAGTCACAGTCACTCACAACACTTCTGTACAGTGTAATGCATGCAGTAGAATTTTACAGCAGTTTTGTGGGAATATTATATTCTGACAATGTGAGTAATGTCTCTGACAATATATCGGCACAGGGCAGCTTACCTTTCCCAGAGATGCCTCTCCCTGGATTTGAAGGCGGGTCTTGGTGAGATCCAGGGGATACGTAACTGTTGAAAACAAAGCAAAGGAGCTAAGAAAACACTCAATAAATACTGACAAGCTAGACAATCATGGATTATGTTTAATGTAGCCACTGCAATAACCATAAAACTTAAAGGGACCCTCCCACCTTAACATTAGATTTGAGTTGAGATAGCCAAAATGGGGTCCCTGGCTCACAATTATCGGTTTCGGCACTCACAACATCGAGAAATGCCTTAAATCGGAAATATTGAATTTCAAAATTGCAGCATTTTGATTCAGAGGGGCTAATGCTTAGGAATACCCCTCTGAATGTGTGACGTCAGCGCAAATATCTAACGATTTTTAAATGTTTGACTAAAACGTTTTGTAGCACGCGGTAGTATATGCTATTTGCGCGCAACATCTGCCGCAAACGCCGCACTTCTAAAATAAAGTCGCTAGAAACAGCGGAGATCCAAAAAAAGTAAACAAAAGTAAAAGTCTAATATCTTGAAAACCGGTGAATATTTTTCGGTGAAATTTGGTAGATATTCGTTTTCGCTCTTTCTGAACCGAGCCACATCACTTTCATGCCAATTCATAAACTTTTTTGAAGGTGGGAGGGTCCCTTTAAAGCCATGCACTCACAACAAAATGAGCAAAATATACACAAAATATTCAAATAATTACAAAAGGAACCAACCAACCAGAGAAAACTAAGTGACAAATGCATGCTCAAAGCATACACATCTAAAACTTTATATAACAAATCTCTGATTGTAATGTCAGAACTCGACATAGGAGCTGGAGCCTCACCCAGTTCAGCACATGTTGCCGAGCAGCAGGAAAGGATGTATTTGAACCATACTTTCTGAGCTATGTCAGATGTCAAGTTATTTGTCTTGTCCTTCATATTTGTTTGGTTATATCTGGAACAAGTGCTTAAAAGTGCACAGGTTTAACCCTGAAATCAGAAAGGCAACTTATTGTCATGGCAGAAAATACATGCATCGTGACAACTTACACCATCAAGCCATTTAAGTCTGAGTAAAATAACCACTGGTTGAGAACACATAAGTATGCACTATGCAGATGCATTTTTCCAGCAGGTTCGATTGTACTGCATTTGTTTGTAAAAGGAAAATATTTGGGCGCAAAACTATTTAGGGCGTTTTACCAACATGAACACCAACCAACCTTCTCGTGTGAGTCACATGAAGACTAAGAAAACGCTATCGTCGAGGTCCGATGCATGCAGTATAACTTATTTCAATAACTAGTGCATATTTACCACAAAATTCATTAATAAATAAAACAAAATCGGCTATATATACACATACTGTAATGGACATAATATATGCACCGACCTGTTGCGCCGGCCGCACCGCAAATGTTTCAAACGCGGCATTTCTGTATGGCTTTGCTGCTACCAAATGTATACCAAATAGAGGGAAGTAGAAAATACTAGGAAAGGTATCCCTTGCGTTATGCCAATAGAGAAAAGAAAATACACTCTTCTGCGGGTTCAAAAAATATCCAACGACCAACCTAGCAAACGCTGGGTCATTGATCAGGCTATTCCTCAGCCACTATGCCCTTACATTGCGCTCCAAGCTCGTTCTTTCCAAGAATCATGTTACAGAGCCTTGCCGAAAGCCATGATTTCGGTAGCGGCGGGACACCTTCGGGGGGGGGGGGCACTGCCGACTTTTGGTCCCATTCTTCCCATCGCAACGCCCATAGGGCTAATGTTAAAATGCAAAAATCAAGGGGGCACGGTGGTCCGGTGCCCCCCCCCCCACACACACACACCCGTTCCGCCGCCTATGCATGCTATGAAATTAATGTTCGCAATTACGTAGAACCTACAGCATCGGTGTTCATGTGAATGTGTGTTTTGATATGTAGAGACAGAAGTAAAGCGCCAGGTGTCAGCCGTCAAGAGTCTTTCCCGCTTACCGGCTAAATATGCATCTTCTTCGGTGCATACCTATTTATAACCTACCCTACGGCTAATGCTGGAAACATTTGTTAAAATTTACCCGATGCATGTCCGAAATTGTCCCAAAATGGCCTAGAGCTACTACTTTTACACACGAGTTTCCTTCCCATTCCTGCAACGTAGCAGCACTTCACGCCTTTCGGGTAACCTTGATCTCTAGGCCCGCTTACATGAAGTGTTCATTATCGAATTAGGTTCTGTCGTCCATAACGAGCTTCTCCGTAGTTTTCACTGTATCACTCAAAAGGCGGCTGATACGGCGTATTTGTTTGTATTACAAAGACTTCATTGGCCATCTCATTTGGGGCCAACTCAGCGCAAAACATCCGAACAACGTCCACGTCCAGCTTTGTCGATGGAAAGAAATACGTCTCGACTTGGCAGCTGGCACTCCCATACGTGGCATGAGGAATCACTCAGACCTAGGCTAGTCAGAAGCTGGGATAGATCTGAAGTAAGGCATTTACAACATAAATAACACAGTCAAACGGCCCCTGGGGTGCACCGCTCTGGCAAGCAGGTCAGGAGGCCCGCCTAGCGGGAATGCGCCCAATAACTCGGAATGCTCACTCGGTCATCACGGATGGGATGCAGCTCTTGGAATATATCGCGCTCACAATAAAAATAAGAACCATCCACATGCAAGTAATCTCAGACACACCAGACACAAACTTAGAAGCATTTGCGGTGGACAATGGAGGGGCCAGACTCGTCGTACTCCTGCTTGGAGATCCACATCTGCTGGAAGGTGGACAGCGAGGCCAGGATCGAGCCGCCGATCCAGACAGAGTACTTCCTCTCCGGCGGGGCGATGATCTTGATCTTCATGGTGCTGGGCGCCAGGGCGGTGATCTCCTTCTGCATGCGGTCGGCGATGCCCGGGTACATGGTGCTGCCGCCCGACAGCACCGTGTTGGCGTACAGGTCCTTACGGATGTCCACGTCGCACTTCATGATGCTGTTGTAGGTGGTCTCGTGGATGCCGCACGACTCCATGCCCAGGAAGGACGGCTGGAACAGCGCCTCGGGGCAGCGGAAGCGCTCGTTGCCGATGGTGATGACCTGGCCGTCGGGCAGCTCGTAGCTCTTCTCCAGGCTGCTCGAGCTGGCCGCGGTGGCCATCTCCTGCTCGAAGTCGAGCGCCACGTAGCAGAGCTTCTCCTTGATGTCGCGCACGATTTCGCGCTCGGCGGTGGTGGTGAAGCTGTAACCGCGCTCGGTGAGGATCTTCATCAGGTAGTCGGTCAGGTCCCGGCCGGCCAGGTCCAGACGCAGGATGGCGTGAGGCAAAGCGTAACCTGAGAACGAACGAGAAAATCGTAAGCATCGCATTTGGGTGAGCAGTTCGGACATGGCACAGCAAGGCATTGATATAAAGGACTACGGAGTGAATTGACGCTTCAGGACCTTGCGGCTTATTAGATAAGTTCATGATCGTTGTTCAAAAGCTGGGCGAAGTCTAAATGAACTCGTGTCGTGCTACTCACCCTCGTAGATGGGGACGGTGTGCGAGACGCCGTCGCCGGAGTCGAGCACGATGCCGGTGGTGCGGCCGGAGGCGTACAGCGACAGCACAGCCTGGATGGCCACGTACATGGCGGGCGTGTTGAACGTCTCGAACATGATCTGGGTCATCTTCTCGCGGTTGGCCTTGGGGTTGAGCGGCGCCTCGGTCAGCAGCACCGGGTGCTCCTCGGGCGCGACACGCAGCTCGTTGTAGAAGGTGTGGTGCCAGATCTTCTCCATGTCGTCCCAGTTGGTGACGATGCCGTGCTCGATCGGGTACTTGAGGGTGAGGATACCACGCTTGGACTGGGCCTCGTCGCCGACGTACGAGTCCTTCTGTCCCATGCCGACCATGACGCCCTGGTGGCGGGGCCGGCCGACGATCGACGGGAAGACGGCACGCGGAGCGTCGTCTCCGGCGAAACCGGCCTTGCACATGCCGGAGCCATTGTCCACGACCAGAGCGGCAACCTCGTCGTCACACATGTTGGCTGAGATAAGTTACTGAAAAGGACAAACAGGAAGTCGTTAGTTTCGAGCACTTGAGTCACGCATCACGTAAGTCCACAAGTCTGAGCCACATATCCACGTATCTCTACATTCTACCCGATAATCACCGGTATCACCCTGGGGCCCCATGGCTCACCGCCCTTCCCACGAACCCCACCCGCGGCGGCGGTTCAAATTCCCGGCACAGCCGCCCCCGCAGCCGCCCGGCACATTCCGGGCTCTGTTCAAGGTCGGTGGCCCCTCGCCGTCCTGAATCACCGAGTGGCCGCGCCGCTGCCGCTGCCGCCGCCGAGCCGCGCCTTATATGGGCATGAAAGCGGCGCTCGCCGGCCGGCCGGCCGGCAGAAGGAAATCGATGGGTTGACGCCCACTGGCCGGCGGCTGCACAGTGCCATGATGCCGTGTCTTAGGGGGCGATAAGTGCGAGTACAGCAACACAAGGGCATAGCTAAGACAATTACGAGTTGTTAAAATGCGGGCGGTAAATATTGAAGACACTCGGCCTATGGCGCCCCAGGGACAGCAATGTCGCACAAGAAGCGAACACCGCCCGCGAATGAATTGAACGGGAGATGAGCGGTATCACTAATTGGCATGGAATGACAATACGTTGGGTTTTGACTGAAACTTTTCGCACACTGCCCAATTAAACTACTTGAAGTCCTCAGAGACGAATGTGGCGCACATCCTTTTCAACTCAATCAGCTCAAGTTGATTACACTAAATGGTGAGGTAAGATGTTTTTGTGGATCAATGGCAAGGCGAAGTTTCGATTTTCATCATTTCCACCGTCACGTCCCCTTATAGTGACCAGCTACAGATAAGAGCCAGCAACCTTTCATCTGCTGCAGACAGACATGACCGGTCACCGGTTACGGGCAAAAACTCGAATAGTACTTTAACTCAAACGCAACCAGTGTGCTAGAATGAAGATACAGGTTTAGGGCAACCGTTTAACACAAAATTTTGATGAAACACTGCAAGAATCACAAAATACGAGCAAAAGTTTTAACCCGGCTCGAACCGGCGCCCGGAGAAACGCAATCGCAAAGGAGGAGCCGGGACACACAGCAGCACAGGACCCAACATCACTATATGTAAGCTCACTTACCGAATAAATATCACAGACTAGAATCGAGCACCGCACTGTCCACCGTTCCACACAGAAGTGAGCACCGGAAAGAATTTTCTCTTGGCTTTACCGGCGCACCGAGCGACTATCTGGGCCGACGCCGGCCGGCCGCCGTCAGCCAATCAGAACACAGATGACCATATATGGTCATCAATGAAACAGCGCAGCCGACGGCGGCGCGGTCACGTGACCGGCTGGTCCGCCGCCGCTGCTGCCGCCGCCCCGCGACGGTTGAGCCGGGTACTGGTCGTGCTGAGTCGCAAAAAAAAAAAAATGAAATCGAAATCGTTGAGCAGCAGGACCCAGCGAGCGACACTCTGTCTGGTTTTGTCTGGTTTGACGACGCTCTGGCGGGCGCGAGACGGGTGAGACTAAATGCTTACTTCGAAATCTAAGCTGCGTTGCGGCATTGGCGGTTATGTGCGGCGTGTATGCCGCATGATTAGTAAGCGGCGACCACTAAATTAAAAATTCAATAGCTTTGACCTGTTTTCAATGGATAACACTGCATACCAAAAATGTCCATCGCTCTCGTCATAGGATATTTAGATTTAAATAACTAACTTATCTACATCATTGTTTTGAACGAAATTAATACTCAGCCGCGAACGTATAAGGTATAACCCCTTGCTGTTTCGCTCCTGATCAAGCTAGAGCTTCGCGGAAAAAACGAGCGTGTTGCCCGTGACGAGAGAAAGCCGATGATACCCAATTTTAAGGTCCTAGGTCATCGGTTGACCTTCCAGGTCAGGTCAATGACCCAAAAGGCGGGAAAATTGGGACCTGTTAGAACGTCGTAGTGTGGCTGCTATGGGGTTTTTCGGGGTGCTGATCGCGAATATCATGCTAGTTTTGATCACAGATGATGTCTTCATTCATTTAGGCCAGGTCGGGTTAGGTCAGGTCAGGTCAACCAGTAGAGGTCCTGCCAGGTATTTGTAGTAGGTGTCAACCGCCTCTGACAGCCTCGTAACATGTTACGAAGGCACAAAAACTACTTTGTAAACGTTCATGTGGTTGCTTAATTCGAATTCAGCTCGAAAAACTGACCTAGAAACATGTCAAATTCGAAAAAGTGAACCGAGGTCACCAAAGGTCAATGACCTGACCTGACCTTCAGGTGACCTTGACACCCACCCTAATGCATGGGGGCAACATCATATCACATGTTTGAACGCTTGAAGCCACGAAAAGACTGCAAACGCGCTGCTAATGAGAGCCGACATACGCTGAATCGCGGTTCCGGCCAAACATGGTCTCGAAAAGTAGGTCACAGGTCAAAGGTCATTTGGGTCAGGGTCATGAAATTTTCAGGATGGGTGTTAAATTGATCAATGCGAGGGTACTGAAAGTTTCGTCGCGATCAGCCGCTTTTTAAGCGAGTTATTCGCGAAAAACCTTAGGGGGGTTGCATCAACCCCCCCCCCCCCTGTGCGGGCGAGGTCATGTTTTGATAGCAAGACTGAAACAGACTTTTTTGGGTAGCAGGAAATCGCATGCCAGAGCCTATTCAAATTCTTTTATCGGCCTTTATATGCACCAGTCGCATACAGGTACGGGATTTAGCATACGATTTCCAGAGTATCGAAAGACTGTTTGGAGACAACAAAGGAAGGAATGAGTGAGTTAAGTTGAAAGTATTAATTTGGTTCAAAATGATGATGTAGATAACCTAGTTATTTAAAGCTGAATATCTTATGACGAGAGCGGTTGGCATTTTTGGTATGCAGTGTTATTCATTGAGAACCGGTCGGAGCGTTTGAGTCTTTAATTTAGTGGTCGCCGCTTACTAATCATGCGGCATACACGCCGCACATAACCGCCAATGCCGCAACGTAGCTTAGATTTCGAAGTAAGCATTTAGTCCCACCCGCGCGAGACAGAGGCGGATCCAGCTCAGAGGTTTGGGGGGGGGCAAACCATAAAAATTTATCGATTCTTTCCATGCATCGCCCATAGGCGTAATGTTAAAATCATGCCGTTTGGGGGGGGGGCAAATGCCCATTTTGCCCCCCCCCCCCCCTGGATCCGCCACTGGCGCGAGATGACGTCAAAGTCATGTGATCGTGATTGGTCTCTTAGTGACAGATATTCCTAATTCTGGGCAATAAGGGATTTTCTCGGTACAAAAGACGATTGATCGTGCTGTATGCTGAAGAGTCGTGTCTTATTTGTCCACAACTTAACATTTTTGGAGTCTGGAGGACAGATGTTATTGTTACAGGTGTAATGGCAGCTTATTTTTACGTTTTGATTACTGAAGTTTTTCTTCCAAGTTAATTCTTTTAGGCTTTTAGGCTAAAAGTTTTAGCTATTTACGGGAATAATTGTTTTCCAGGAGATTTAAAACATAGGTGCTGGTGAATAATGAATATTCATCTTAGGAGTGCAAAACAAAAACACGCTGGTTGATAGTCATGAAAAACGTCTTTAAAGGGACCCTCCCACCTTAACATTAGATTTGAGTTGAGATAGCCAAAATGGGGTCCCTGGCTCACAATTACCGGTTTCGGCACTCACAACATCGAGAAATGCCTTAAATCAGAAATATTGAATTTCAAAATTGCAGCATTTTGATTCAGAGGGGCTAATGCTTAGGAATACCCCTCTGAATGTGTGACGTCAGCGCAAATATCTAACGATTTTTAAATGTTTGACTAAAACGTTTTGTAGCACGCGGTGGTATATGCTATTTGCGCGCAACATCTGCCGCAAACGCCGCACTTCTAAAATAAAGTCGCTAGAAACAGCGGAGATCCCAAAAAAGTAAACAAAAGTAAAAGTATAATATCTTGAAAACCGGTGAATATTTTTCGGTGAAATTTGGTAGATATTCGTTTTCGCTCTTTCTGAACCGAGCGACATCACTTTCATGCCAATTCATAAACTTTTTTGAAGGTGGGAGGGTCCCTTTAAACAATCATAGCTCCCTGCCATTTGTGACAGACCTAACGTTTATAAGAGTGCGTGCAACTAACGCGTAGCGTAACCCTTCTTTCTCATGCTGACGTGCCAGTCTGGTCACTATCAATTTTCAGCTGTTCGATTCGATGACTGACCCGTTTCGCAGCCTCTGGAACTTCTTCTGGCGCTGTCTGTTGACAGCAACCTAAATCTGTCCCAGAGAGATATGTCACACAGCTTACGCAGAGCACAGTTGCTTAAAGAATGATGTTTCACCCCTCACACAAGCTATTAGTGGACTGGAGCGGTAAGTTGCGCCGCTCAAGTCAGTGATCAAATAATTAAACGTGTCTATGGTGAGCGTAGGTAGCGTCGCACGAACTGTGTGTAACACTCAGTCGACAGTCTGCGCCGTGCGGCACAGCCTACCATGCCAGGCAACTGACTGCCCGGCGCCCGCTATAAAAGAGGCATCGCTCTGTTGTCAACTGTAGCCTGTAGCCACATGATATGATCATAATGGCATGCCAATTGGTTTATTATATTGTTTATTGCCGATTTTGCTTGTCTAAACTAGCAAAGAAGACGAAGAGGTGACGAGGTCCTATTGAGAAAAGGCATCTCAATATTGCGGAGCAGTACCTTTGCATATCTACTTGTCACTTATCTGTGTGCCAGCTTAACACAACTATGAGTATCTTGCTTCCCAGTTCCCACCATCTTATCCACATCCCACAGGTCACAGAAATGGAACACCGCAAACCATAGGGTACATCGCCAATTTATGTAAGTCACCATGCCCGATGACGCGTGACCTATGACCTTCTCGATTCTCGAACCCAATCCTGTCAGTCAGTCCATCACCACGTCACCTAAGTAACCAAGTAACCAGACCGCCACAGGACGCTGATTCATCGTTTCCATGGTTACTTCTGAGGTGTACTGCGTCGCAAGGAACGGAAGTACTTGACGTGTATGATTCCTGGCAGTGAGGAATTCTTCCTCGTGTTTCATCGGTGTTGGACGCTGATCCGCGGCGTTGGGCAGTTCCTGTTGCGTGCTCGTGATTCACGGTCACACGGCACCTCCAGTCATGGGGTGAACTGTGAAGACTTGCCTATCCTATCAGCACGTTCCTGGTAACAGAGGACTTGTGTTTGATGTGTACTTTGAATCAGTTGGTCTGGTCGAATTGGTTCATGTTGCGATAGCTGGTGAAGATATGTGATTACATTTGTTATTGGTCAATTAAGTAAAAATGTTACGCGGGATTCAGCTGGTCGGCGCCCGGCGGTCGCACTGGATGAAAATTCCAATTTGTTTGTGGCATTTGTATTTGTCCTTTAAAAAAGTAATTAATTGCCCGCCCCAATTCTAAACTACTAAAAAGGAAGGCGTTCGACTCGTCTCCAGTCCCAACTAAAGAAGTTCGTCACTCGCCATAGATGAAGAGAGGTAACCGAAAATTAGTATATTTTTTAAGGTAACGACCCTGAAGTGACGTGGTTCCACCTAACCTATCCGTAACGACCCCACCCTCTCGTCTCCTCACCGTCCGTCGTCTGGTCTGCAGCTTTCCTCTGGTGCGGTCAGTGACCGTCCATCGGCACGGCACATCTGGCGGCCCTGTGTCAGCCACCGGCCCAAAACGCGCCGCGTCCGTCGTCTCCAGTGCGCCGAATTCGGTACGCGACGGTGATTAGCCTGATTTGCCGCGCGGCACTGCGCTGGACAGAGGAGGGGTTTCTCTTAGCTGTCGGTGTTTGACTACGAGATGGCTCTATTTTCATTTGCAGACTAGTATTAGTGCCGTCTGATGACTATTTTCATTTGTAAACTAGTATTAGTGCCGCCACTTGCATGACAGATGACTGTTGTTTGAAACTAGCTCGCTAGCTTGCTAGCTGATAACGCTAAGAGAAACACAGCCATCGTCATCACATCTGTCATCTCTCTCCAACGGGCATGTTCTGCAGCTGCTGTCAATAGTTATCGCTCATCAAACCGGTGTCAGCGGACCATCCGACACCGGCGCGCGGCCGTGCGCGAGCAGAACGGTGCTGGGTGTTCTGCCTGCTACCAGCGCTGGAGCGGAAACTTTCCTCTGCCATGAGCCTCTGTAAAGGTGCAGGCATACTTTGAAGGCAGCGCAGACACCCGCTGAGATGAGTGGGACGGTCCGCGCGGTCGGACGGACGGTCGGTCGGCCCACTTCTCACCAGCAGAGGTGCCGAGGCGATGACAAAGCGCGAGCAGATGACGGCCGACTTCCACGGAGCAGAGACCGGAGTCGGTGCACATTAGCCATAGTAGAATTGAACGGTGCTCCTGGAATTGTCTGCTCTGAATATGAAAACGCTTGATACTCTTTCTTCCGCGACTAACTGAAGTGGACGCTGGCCTTTTAGCCCCGGTTGAAGACCGCTTACGCTTGAGAACACTCATCTCTAGCTGTCTCTGTTTAGACTGAGTCAAATAGATGGGCCTAGCGAGCATCAGGCTTTCTTCTGTAGCTAACATTATGTTTATAACCGCTAATACATTTCTTCAAATCATGAAATCAAGAAACCACCTGCCACCCAACACAGCCATGTGTGCTTTTTCAATTTTTTAGTACCGGGTACATCATAGAATCAACAGCGCTGACCCGCTTCTTCCAATCTAATCAAACCGTTTCACTTTTTGCAAGTTTCCGTGTCAACAAAACTCAAACTTGGCACATACCGTTTCTGTTAGTCACAGATCTAACACACGCATAGATCCACGAAGCCCTATCAGAATCGCAAGTCCGCAGCAGTTTTCCATATTTGGTCACACAGCCCGCAGTCGCCTCTCAGAGATATCGCTCCCAGCTCCAAACAGAGCCAGAACCATATAGTGGTTGGACAGCCATATAGACAGAACATCAGCGCGGTGATGGAAGAAAGATGTCCCGCCGAGACGAGGTATAAAGATGATATCTGAGATCTGGAAAAGGACAGCGAGCTGCGAGCGTGCGCGACAGGTGAAGTCTATGCGTCAACCACTGGATTTGCGGAGAAGAATGTGTGTCTGAAATGGCAAGTTTGCTTGCACTTAGAGTGAACATTTGCATTATTACTGAAAGGAAGAACCATGAGCAATGTGTAGAACGGGGCAATTGTAAAATGACCCACCATTTTATTTTAGGAAACCTTGCAATCATTTCAATACAATGCATTTTTTGTGTCAGTTTCCTTAACCCTTTCGCTTCAAACCGTTCAACTGGCGCAGACACCATCCCTGTCCCTTCTTCACCAATGTCACTAATAGTCACAAATGTCACTAACATGCAGCCCAACACCATAACCATCCCAACATGGCACTAGCATCACCACCAGAGCGCCGCCACCCCGAGCCACGCCGAGCCACACCAGCGGGACGCACCAGAACCAGTCATTATATGTACCGACTCGCTGTCGGCGATAGCGGCGCTGAGAGAGGGTCCGTCGGCACAGCGCTCGGCCAGAGGCGCTGCCATATGGAAGCAGCTACTGGAGCTCACCGCCGGAGACCGAACGGTCACCCTCCAGTGGGTTCCATCCCACTGCGGGATCCCAGAGAACGAGTCCGCCGACGCCCTGGCAAACGAGGCTGCGACGCTGGCACAAGAAGACGTCATGCTCGATGTAGACACCATCTACCGAGCGGCAGTCCGCACCGCCAGAGACCGCGCCGCAAGGGACAGGCCGACATACCCGGACCCCGACCGTAAAGCCGCAACGGGGTGGTACAGAGAGCTTATGGGTGCAAGATGGCCACCACCTCTCACCAACATGGACAGGACGACAGCAGTAGACGTCCACCAGATCCGCACTGGGCGCTGGAGCGGCTCGGCGCAGTTTCTCCATTCCATCGGACGAAACCCATCTGCGGACTGCCCACAGTGCAGGAACCTCGACTGCCCTGCAGCTCGTTGCCCGCTGTGCGGCGAGCAAGCCGACACACCTCGACACATCCTGCTGACCTGCCCGGGACTGATGGGGGTTCGCCTCAGAATCCCGGCGGTCGGCAACATACTGCCGACGGTGGAGGAGGTCAGGCGCGGCGACACGGTGGCGGCCCTGGTGGCCGCTTTCAGGGCCCTCCAGAGCTGAAGCTACACCGCGGCTCTGCCGCGGATGGAGGGAAAACCAACAACAACAACAACAGCCACGCCGTGTCATCGTGTCAGGGACGCCACCAGCATGTCTGTATGCCTGCACGGCTCTACAAGGCCAAGGCCAATACCCATAACCGTCCGCCCCCCCCCCGTCCGACGAGCCAGGCAGGTGAGCCGTTGCCGGGGGCTATGCCACTCCTGCGTTGAAGTCTTCGTGTTCTGCGGCGCAGTCTGTCAGCTCTTTCGACCGTTGGTGCCTGGGGCGATCTCACGCGGGCCCGCGGGGCGATGGCAGGCGGTTGGTACCGGTGGGGAGGGGGAGGGAAGGTTTGAATTTAGGATGTCCGGTGTCTGGGAGTGCCGGGTTCTCGGGTAACGATAAAACGCTGGGGGAGGGGAGGGGAGGGAGAATGTAGACCGGAGAGGATGGCACGCAGACTGGAGAGCTGAGTGGAGGCATTTGGGCGAGAATTAGACACGAACTGGGTGACACACTTGGAAAAGTTTTTGACGTGCTGGAGTGGAAGGGAAGGCGAGGGTTGTTTAAAATTTATAACTGGAAGCCTCGAGCTACTAAGTTTTTGAGGAAAACTGAAAAAGGCTGACTAGAATGCCACTTCTGGAACGAACACATTTCATGATCTTGCACTGAAATAAGAAAGAAATAAAATAAAACAGTTTTTATTCATTCAGGCGACACCCGCGACCGTACAACCTTTCTCGGCTTAAATCTCAAAGTAAACGTTTGCAGCGTCTCCAGCCCATAATGCCCTCGGTAACCTGTGACCGAAGATTCCTCAGCGGCCTCCCATTTGGTAGAAAAGGCCCAGAGGTAATGGTCAGCACATTTATCCACCTTGCTGCGACATACTACCGTTATGCTTGTATCTGTTTTTGACGTTTTTAATTTTTTCCAGACGAAAAAAAAATCGTAGCCAATTCAAGACTCCAATGTTGCTCAATGATAAAAGATAACCAGAGCAAATGTAAGCTAACAGGTAACCTCAATAAATGTATTTATTTCTTTACATGAATGAGCCACATTGTCTCGCAAGTGAGACACATCATCTCTCGGTCTCCCTCAAATCAACGGTTGCCGCTGCATTTTCGGGGGCAGCCGCTGAGCTCGAGTCCCCGCCGTTGGAGCGCCAGACACCCATTACGACCGGCGACCGACCGCACTGAACGGTGGGAGCGGCCCCAAATGTGTGCGCTCAGTCATGCTTACAGGGTGCTTCGCTGTCCGCCCGCCGGGCATCCGCCGCCCGCTGCCGCTTATAACCGCTGCTCGCTGCCGGTAGCCGTCGCCCGCTTCATCTTTGGCGCACGCTCAACGCTGCATGCCGCACGGTGCAACAATGCACAATGGTACTGCGGGTGTGGTCCCCCAAAAATGCATAGCTCGTGCCACAGATGAACAATGAAGATTGGTGATGTTATGGGACATTTTTACAGGCCGTCATGCACGCAGCGCATATCTGAGTCATATCTACAGATGGAGATATTGCCGTGTTTTGATTTGTAGTGAAATATGATCGAATAGTGAACACGCAACGGTCTAATTCAGATGAATGTCTAATGCTCGTAGATTATTGCTTCAAAATCAACAATCGAGAAAGCTAAAACACACGTGCGTCCTGCTCACGAAGTTGTTCATGAGTGGTAAACAAAACCCAAACGAAAAAGGGTATCACCTGAGATATTTTTTGTTGAAAAGGTATGAAAGATATGAAAAGGGATGAAAGTAATGAAAGAGGCGCGCATGTTTAGACAAGGAGCAAGAAAGCAACAAAACGTGAAATAGGTCAAGGTGATACCAGGAAGAGAACACTTCCCTTTCCTGAAACTGGTCATGGACGAACCCGCTATTCATGCCGTAGTGTCGTAGTTTAGGACAGCGGAGCCGAACTAGTTCATCTTTCACGTTTTTATTCGCTGCTCGTATATCACGACTTTATGTCTAATGTCTATGTAGTTAGTCCGGCTGGATTCATTTAGCAAACAGCAGCGTTCGATACTAAGCTGACCGCCCACCCGGCAGATGAGGTCAAAGGTCAAACGATCGGCCCTTGACCTGTGACCTTTGAGTGACCCTCCGCGGTGTACCCCGGTCGTCAGTTTTCAGAGCTCGTGTGTGCTGTCTGCAGTTTGGTTGGGATGAATCGGCGAAGCGTGCTCAATGGGGTTGGTCAGTGTTGGGATAATGCCATGACTCATATAATGGTCGTGTCGGGGAAACGGTGCCAATGGTGGCGCTGCCATAAAACAGCCGTCGATGGAACAATCAGCACATGGCGGAGAACTGAGAACAATGAAGCGCATTTGCTTCAAGGTAAGTGGTAGGGTATATCCAATATACCTGCGGCAAAGTCCTCTAAACTCAATAACCGATGTTCAATCAAGCAATTTAGAAGTCGAAACAATGCGAATGTATTACTTAAATTTGCTGGAGGCTGAAAAATTAAAACTATATGTTTTACACAGAAAAAGTAGACTTTAAGTGCCACTCATTGTATAACTGAACCCGAACTTTGGTCGTGATCATGACAGTAAAACATTCTGCCCCATTCGAATGTATTTGAATAAAATGTAACCATTAGCTTAGCAGGGCTAACACGCTTCGGTTGCCGTTCGAGTTACCCTGTACATACAGTTGGCTTGACCTGTATAATTGGCACAAAAGCACGGCATCACTGGGTAAGTTTCCTCGTCGCCTTGCACGTCAATAAACTAGTTTGGACTCGACCACGACTCGACATATCAGCACGTGAGTATGCTTGATAAATTTCCGGCGTAATCATTGAACGAAGGAATAATTTGCACTTGTACTCGTTCACGTGAATCTTATGTTAACACACTTCATCCGCTGGAAACACTCATCTTTAACCGGAATCAGGATATACGTGTTTAAATCAACACGGGCACATGACGCTACACTTCCGATGTGACAAACTTCTCACGAAAAAAAGCTTTGATATGAAGCACTTGAAGCACTTGTAAAGTCCTGGGCAAATATACACTTCATCGCCACTCCAATATCTCCGATATCGAATCACTGAAGGGCTCTTGAGCCTCCATCTTCCGGGCTTGCCTCTTAATCCTCTTTTCACCTATCTGTCGATAAAGTCGCCCTACTTCTTAGACCGATGACCGCGTTTTAGGAGTCGCGTCATCACCGCCATGAAATGTTTATCAAGGATTACTGTTTATGTATCAGCCATAGCGATTGTTTGGAGTACGGGGGTCTGGTTCTGGGTGATGACGTCAACAGATTTGAGCCGGTCTACATAGGAGAGGCAAAGGTCACATATTCAAACTGCCATGGGAGCGCGGGGGAGGGGGTGCGACCTGTTGTTGAAGTAAACTTAAGTGTAGCATACCAATTGCATACACGGACATGGAACATCGCGGACACGAGCACAACACCACACGGACATTCGACTCGACATGCGGGACCATGTTGGTCCCATCCCATCTCGGTCCGGTCCGGCGGTCCAGCGGTCCGGCTGTGGGTGGACCATCTGTCGTCTGGCCCCGTTTGTATCCAGGCACGTGCTGTGCGGTCAGCGGACACGGGTGGATCATCAGCGTCTGTCAGAACGCGAGACGACAGTCTGTCGATGGTTTGAGAACGGTGGTCATCGTATTCTGAGATCCGAGGAGCTAGGTACTTACCAGTGTGGGGATGTGTATGTAGAAGCACATAAGTAATAGCTGATAAAGAAGAATACAAAGTTAGGACTCGATACCACTAAACAAAATAATAATGCGTGATAAGCATGCAATAAAAGAGATGTGCATATTTTCTCAAGACATCTCAGCTGACATTTTGGAGAGGGCCAACTTTAACATTTTTTTAACCCTTTGACGGCTTTGACCTTCGTAAAAGCACGAGAACGAACGTCCAGAGAGGCACACCACACGTTCTTCTTTTTTCTACTCGGACAGCTGTTGCTGGGATCTGTCAGACCGTATCACCAGATATCGGACAAATATCCTCTTTCTCTGCCAACACCGAACACCGAACAGTGAACAGCCCGCGTCTGTCCCTCTGGTTGTCTGTCGAAGTAGCGAACATCTGTTGTTCCAGTGATGTATGTGTGTCTCTCAGTGAGCGTCTAAAGCGGCCGTGATAATTTGGAAGCTACTTTAGCGACAGATGATGGCCCAGTTTCTACTAATTGTGATTTCTGATGCCCCTGATTGTCTGCTAATCTGCGTGACTAAATAGTGCCTATGGACAGTGGGGTCTATAGATATTAGATACCATTTGTGTCATGTGTGAATTTAGAAGCAGTGTGAATTTAGAGCTTAGGCTGACATCTACGTGTTAACATGGTTTGATTTGATTGTAACGAAGCCGGTCGGTTTGGTGGTTTCGAACCCGTAGTTCTATGCTTGGTATCAGCGTTTGCTGATCCTTGAAACGCTGTATCCTTGGGCAGCGTTTACGGGATAACTTATAATCAACTCATAAACACGTCTAGATATCATAAGTGCAATAAGATTTCCAACAAATTAAGTTCAATCCTAATTTGACAAATCACCCTACCGCCCTGTTGCTGTGCCCTTAAGTTCAAGTTCTACAAATCGTGAAATAAGCTTCCGTTTCTTCATGCGCCTCACGAGTGGTCCGTTTCAAATCTTGATAAGAAATAACCGCCTTCACATCTGAGTCGGCCCACACATATCATGGGTCGACAAACGACGTCAAATATGTCCTCTCACGTCATCGACCAGCTAACGAATCTCATCATGGTAAGATCATGCTCCCGCATCAACACTAAGCATCAGGGTAGGTCTGATAAAGACAGGTTTCTCTGCTTGATGGTTGGCTCATTTGATTGCGCTATACCTTGGTTGAGGTACGGATTTTTTTTTTAGTTTCAGATAATGCTGTTGTGGTGAAGAAGTTTGGATAGTTTTAGGCTCCGATTGGATTCAGTTGATCAGCCCGGTTCGGCAGCAGCAAGCTATGTATGATTCAAATTAGAA